AAATAAATGGTTTGGAAAAATCAGGTAGAGCTAAGACAGGAGTGCTAACCATGGCAGCTTTGAGTTGATTGAAAGCTATTGTGGCTTCTGGACTCCAAAGAAATGCCCCCTTTTTGAGTAGATTAGTCAAAGGTCGACTCATAATGCCATAACCTTTAATAAACCTCCTGTAATAACCTGTCAGGCCTAGGAACCCCCTCAGCTGCTTAAGAGTTTTTGGTAATGGCCATTGTACCATAGCAGTGATCTTGCTAGGGTCTGTGGCAACTCCAGATTTTGATATAATATGCCCCAAGTATTCCACTTGCTCCTGCCCAAATTGACACTTACTCCTCTTGGCATATAATTGATTGCTCCTTAGAATGGACAAAACCTCCCTCAAGTGATTCATATGCTCATCCCAGCTTTTGCTATAAACAAGAATGTCATCAAAGAACACTAGCACTGTCTTCCTTAGATGAGAATAGAAAACCTGGTTCATAAGAGATTGAAAGGTAGCAGGGGCATTACACAGCCCAAAAGGCATGACCAAAAATTCAAATTGCCCATGATGTGTGTTAAAAGCAGTCAGGTGTCTATCCTCTGGCTTCATTAGGATCTGAAAATACCCAGATCTGAGATCAATCTTAGAAAAAAACTGAGCACCCTGTAGCTCATCTAACAGCTCATCAATGATGGGAATTGGAAAGTCATGCTTGATGGTATGACTGTTTAGGTATCTGTAGTCCACACACATCCTCCATGAAGAATCCTTCTTCTTTACTAGGATAACAGGAGATGCAAAAGGACTGTTGCTAACTTGTATCAATCCTGACCTCAACATTTCCTCTACAATCTTCTCTATTTCAGCCTTTTGGCTGTGTGAAACCCTATAAGGGTGTTGGTGTTTAGGCAAGCTGTTATCCTTGAGCACAATTTGATGTTCAACCCCCCTTACTGGAGGTAACCCCTGAGGTTCTTCAAAAATATCTGAATATTCATCCAGTAAGTCATGAAGCTTGTGGTTATGAGTGCCTTCCTTTGGTGGAATTTTGACCCAGAATATTTCCTCCACCTGTGAGGACATTTCATAATGCATCATCTTGTATAGGGCAGGTCCTGAAATGAGTTGGCAGTCTATGCCTGATGTGAGAGCCTGGATTTTAATTTTCTTCCCACCAAGAGTGACTGTAAATGTCATGTTTTCATAGTCCAATTCAATTGGAGTGCAAGACTTGAGCCAATCCCCTCCAAGTATTAGATCACAACCCACATTATCTAGTACCCTGGGTGAAAATTTAAAGGAGTGACCCTGCATTTTCCACTTGAACCCAGTAACCTTGCTAGAGCTAACCATCTTGTTCCCATTAGCAACCCTGACCATAATGGGTTTGGCCATCTCCAGTGTGCATCCCAGTTTCCTTGCCACAGATTCTTGAATGAAACTTATGGTGCTTCCAGTATCAATTAGAATTTGCAATCTGTCTGAACCCACAGTGCCAAAGAGCCTCATGGTGGTGATACTATTTTCCCCAGAGACTGCATGCAAGGTAACTTGTATCTCTTCCACAGTGTCATCCTCCATTGGTTCCAATGGCTGTCCCCCAGAGTCATTATAATACAAGGATTCTTCTTCTTCACTCATCATCATATAAGTCACCCTATTTTTGCATCTGTGGCCTCTGGTAAACTGTTCATCACAGTTGTAGCAAAGGCCTTTTTCCCTTCGAGCTGCCATTTCTGAGGATGTGAGCAATTTGAAATTAGGCTGAGGGTAGCTGTTTAGGTTCCTGGGGGTGTTCTGGTGATTTGGTGTAGAAAAATTTTCCTGCTTCTTGGGATAAGATGTGAAACCCAAGTTTGGCCTCCCTACTGGTTTCAGTTTTTTTGTCAGTGCTTCTAGAGTGGTAAGCTGCCTTTGGCCCAGATCAATGGTTTGCTGTAGTGTAGATGGTTCAAACATCTGTATGAAAGCCTGCAATTCTTCACTAAGACCACTGATGAAACTTGCTATAAAGTACTCCTCTGAATACCCACCACTGTTTAATAATAACATGCATGCTTTAAGCTCCTCAAATTTGTCAACATATTCAATGTATGAACCAGTATGCTTGAGTTTATTGAATTCAGCAATGATTTTTGCTTCTTTTAAAGCTTCAAACCTAGCAGATATAATTTCCAGAAACTGTGACCAATTAAGTTCCTCCTGTGTGTGTGAAAAATTTTGAAACCATTGGGCAGCCTTCCCATCAAAGTGCATAGCAGCTAGGTTAACTTTCTGGGAGTCTGGAATATTAGGCATTAACCTAAAATAGGACTGACACTTGAGAATCCAAGCTCGGGGTTGAGAACCATCAAACCTTGGGAATTCAATTCTGGGGAGTGGGCTAATGATATTGTGTGTAGGAACTTCATACTGCAATTTGTTCCTCTGTGTGTGTTGGGAATTTGATCCATGGTGTTCCCCCAAAATGGATTCCTCATGAGCACTGTTCTAAAAATCGGCCTAGGCGGCCGCCTAGGCGGCGCCTAGGCGCTAGGCGGTGCCCGGGCGCCTCCGATTTGCACAAATCGGCAGAAAAAATCGGTCAGGCGGCTAGGCGGCGCCTAGGCGGGCCTAGGCGGCCCTAGGCGCTCCTAGGCGCCCTTGGCGGGCGCGGCGGCCAGGCGGTTAGGCGGCGCCTAGGCGGGAATAGGCGGACCTAGGCGCTCCTAGGCGGGCTCGGCGGCAATTTTTCAGTTTTTTTTTTTAATTTTTTTAAATTTTTTAAATATTAATTACATTATTTTATTCTCATGTTTTTTTTAAAATATATTAATTTTATTATTTGGACTTAGGTGTGTCGATTTATTATAAGTTGAGATAATTTTATTTTGTAGGTAGTCAAACTAAATAAAAAATAAGGTATTTAATATTGATTTCTAGGCCCCGACTAGGCACCGCCTAGGCCCCGCCTAGGCGCTCTAGGCGCTAGGCGCTGGTCGAGCGCCTAGCGGGCGCCTAGCGACTTTTAGAACACTGCTCATGAGGTGGGTTTCTCTTTGGATTTAGGATTTGCAGCTGAATTGCAGCCAGCGTATCAGCGAGATGATCTAAGCGACTGCTGAAACCTGTGTTCATGTCATTTATTTGATCCTGCATCTTCATTTCTGCTGCATCTCGTTTTAAGCCTTCATTATGAAGAATTTGATCCAATTTTTTCTGGGCTTCTTGCAGATCTTTGAATCGAGTGGCTTCAGCCATGAGGAAGATAAAATCGTGGCCTGGGTGATACCAATTGTAGTAGACCCTTGTTAATTGGAGTAATTTACCAAATGGATAGTTACTGTAATTTAGATAGCTTGAGGAAGAAGGTGATAGGAATAGTAGAAAGGGAGGGATAACAGAAAGGAGAGAGAAAGACTAACTTTTTTCATGCATTTCAGCCTCAAAATGGCCCGTTAAATACAATGATGGTGGTCCCCACCATAACAACTTGCATTGGTTCTTTTCCCAAAAGTAAATAACTAAGTAAAATGAAATACAATTAAAAGTAAAAATATGCTAAATGAACGATCCAGATTTCCTCCTTCAAGTTTTGATCAAATGCTCCTGCTTGTGCCACATGTCGCTCCACTGTTATCAACAAAACCAAAATCGGGGACTTCACTTTCCAATTCCTCTTTCAGATCCCCTTTAGCCTGAACCCTAATTTTTCCAATCTCATCGTCGTCCTTTTCATTTCCGTCCAGTCCTCCCGGAATCACTACATAATGCTACACCATTTGCCAGATCTACTGCCAAAACAATTTCTTATCTTCAAATTCAAAAGGGGTAAAATCTCAAAATAATTTCTTATCTTTAAATCCTAAAGAAGTAAATAGAAAAAAAAAAATAATTAGTCACAACCATTAAACCTGTTATAATTTTTAACATATATTTATTTTCAAATCAATAAAATAATATATTCAGAAAATTATTTAAATAAAAATATGACATTTTTATTAAATATAAAATCAGTAAATTATTACATTTCAAAAAATAATATAAAAAAAAAAAATATGACATTTTTATAACATAAAAAATATATATATTTATTGAAAATGTTGATGAGTCAATCCACTACTAGCCGCCTGGTACAAGAATTTGCAAAAATTAGTTATAATTCTGAAAAGAAGAAGTTGTCCCTTTCCCAATGACTTCAACAAAACAAAAACCTGTGAGTTGTTTTTGCTGTCCTTCTGTTACTGTTTCACAGTTTGGTGGGTAGTAAAAAAGAACCTTTTTTTTTTTTTTTTTTTTTTTTTTTTTTTTTTTGTTTTTCTGACCCTGTTTCTGTTGGGCCATTGAAAAGAGTTATTGCCTTAGCTTTTAATTTATATGTTTATATATCATATATACTATATAGCTTTTATTGTACTCTGACTGACACTCACTCAAGCCAGCGCTTAATTACTCACCTCTCAGTAGAAACGGTTGTTTGGTTTGCTGTCAAGAACATGCCAACAGAGAGTACCCTTCACTGTTCTGCATCAAGAATTCACAGATTTTAAAATAATCTCTTTGTGTGTGTGTGTGTGTGTGTGTGTGTGTGTGTTTGTGTGTGTGTTTATCCCTTTGATCTGAAGGGAGAAAGCTTTTATTAATCTTTTCTTGATTTTGCACATGCTTCCTCTCTCTCTCTCTCTCTCTCTCTCTCTCTCTCTCTCTCTCGTGGCACCACCCAAGCCTTAATTTTGGGGCTTTTCCAAGAAACCAATGCTTCTTCACTTTCTCTCTCTTGTTTATTGCTTGCTTCTCACTCTTACTGCCAGTGGGTCTTCATCTTTAAACCAACCCCTTTAGTTATTGATTCAAGCCACCCACCCCCATTTGACAGTTCACATTTGGACTCCCATTTTTTGCAGTTTTTATTGAGTTACTGAGGAGTGAAGGATTTCTGGGCATTTCCTGATTTTTTTGCTGTTTGAGGTTTTTTTTTTTGTCATAAAGGCTGAACTTTGAGATTTTCTTTAAGGTTGTTTTGTTTGTCCTATGTGGGATGGAGGTGGTGCTGATGATGCATGTTTTGAGTTTGGCCCTTGAAGTCTGTGCCTTTGCTGCTTGTTCTTTATGGATTCATGGATCTGCTGGTAATTTCTGCATCTCATCTTGTTTTGCTTGAGTTTTTGGCCTTAGTTTTGATATATATATATGTTTGCTTTGTGGCAAAAAGTCAGTTGCAAATTCCATTTTTTTTTGTCAGTTCCAGTTTTCTCTGTAATTTAGTTCTGGAAAAGTCATGTAGCTCATGTTTTCTTATATTGTCAATGAGAACTAATCTTGATTGGCTCACATTCGTAGGAGGAAAGTGAGAAATCTAAATCTTTTCTGATATCATTGTTTTAATGTGTTTGTATGCCGGTGAATCGATTAACCACTATTCAATTCCGGACGAATTAAGGTTTATAAGTAATGGTCCCGGTAGATTTCTGATTTAGATCAATGTGACGGTCTTGTCAAAGTGAGTATAATAGTTACTAACTAGTTATGAAGTGACGTGAAGAATTGAAGTTTTATGCAAGCCCCCCGTGTCGTATTGTTTTACGACTTTCATTATGGCCAATTTGAATGTTTTCTGTACTTGGCATTAGATACAATAAGCAGTTTCAAGATTGGTTAATCTATATGCTCGTGGTATGAACTAGAGAGACAATCGGTATATATCGATCATCCTTGTTTCTTTCTGAATTTTCTGCAGTCCCTCTTCTTGGAGAAGGAACACAAAACTATGTGTCCAATTCAGTTATGTTGATCAGTAAAACACCAGCTCAAGTACCCCAATCGGACGGTAGTATTGCAGATTCATCATTTTTTTTTTCCTTTTATTTATAGCCCATTTTTGGTCAATCATTTAACAAAAAAATAAAAATAAAAAAAATAACTTCGAACTGTTTCAGGTCTATATTTTCAGCCGCCAAACCCAATGCCTTCTCAGAGTTATGAACGTGCACCCCAAACTCCAACTGGTCAACCGTCTTTGGCTCGGCCGAGTTCTTCAGTGCCACCGGACAATATTTTTGTTCCAATCTTGCCACCTGTTCCTCCACTCATAGTACAATCTCCAGGTACATATTAATTCTAAGTAGCTATCATGTGTAAAGACGTGTCGTGTCATCTCATTGACTTATAATCATAAAATGGTTCAAATTGATTTATATTTTCAGTGTGCAGCACCTGCCACATCACCTTCAAGCAGGTCATCACCAAACGAACAAACTCCTCAAGCACCCTCAAATTCTCATTCTCGTCAAGCTAAACCACCTATTATTAATGTCCCTATAGCTCCAGGTATTAAAATCAAAGAATGTTATCTTGCTTGTTATGTTAGCTTTGTTTCTTTTGACCCTCACTTGAACTAAATTCAAATGTAACTCTTAATTTCGAAACATTTGAACTGCAGTATCAAATGTACCTGCTCCTTGGAGAATTCCAGAATCTCGGCCACCTTCTCATTCGGTCACGTCAAATGAACCACCCTCACCTCTTTCTGGTACGTTTATTCATTCTTATTTGCATTTGAATTTCCATATGGGTACACCTTCAAACCAACCGATACCAGATCGTGAACAGCTGAATATATTTGGTTTTATCTTACCTGATATGCCTGCCCTTCCAGAATTTTCCGGAAATCCTCCGCCAGTCGAACCAATCATGAATGAACCTCCAACCAATCCTCCAGGTAATAAGAATTTCGTTCGTATCTTAAAAAAAAAAAAAAAAAAGTATATAAAACGACATTGTTGCAGTGTGGATATGTTGAATCAGAGATTATGTGCTCGACAATATCTTGATCATAAATGGATCTTATCTCTATTTTCAACCAATTTGTTTCGAATACGAGATTAAATGAGTATCCTGTTGTTTTTCTGGATAGAACAAACCGCCTCTCCTATTTTAGCTTCTCCACCAAGCATCAACAAGACAACAAAACCTATTGTTAAAGTTTCTCCACCTTTGAATAAACCTGCCCAAGCCCCTGTAAGCTACTCCCCGACTCAAGGTTTGTTCACTTCTTTTACAGACTATTTACCTCTCACAACCGGCTCTTATATGAAGAGAACAGAGACAAAACAAGTAATGTGGTTGCGCTTAATTCTGTCCAGGTCCTACTTTAAGCAACCCTTTGGAGCACTCTAACACTGTTCCCCCGCCTCGTCAATTTTCCAAGTCGACAGAGTTTCGTTCACCTAGAATTCATCGTCGCCCAAAGGTTCACAATTCTACTCGTGCTCCTGAGCCGCATGTGATTCCTCCCCCGTCTCCAGTTCATTTGAAACCCGCTCCACCCAATAGCAAACATGCTCTGATACAAGCTCCAGCTTCTCAGCAGACTATATGTAAGGCTTGATCAACGTAGAGTTTTGAGGTTGCAAATTGTCTACCATCTCATATTTCAATTTCATTAAGAGAGAACATTTATTTCACTCAAATTCAGTGAGTTTAATTTTCAGAATATATCATCTATTCACTCTTTTTCATCTTTTCTTTACAAAATTTTCTCGAATTTACTTCTTTTAAAAAAACGATCAAATGAAAATGATCAAATGAGTAATATATTTATTGCACATTTTCACCTCCTTTATTCATATACTCACCTATATTTCTTACTGACAGTTTTATCTAATAATTATTTTATTAATTTTATAAATATTTTATTAATTTTCAATTGAATCAACTTTGCCAATTCATAATCATTTCTTGTTCTGTCAAGAAGTTTTTGCATCCAGTCGCCACCTAAGTTTATGCATTCGATTTTTCATTTCTGTAACTTATGTATTAATCGTTTCTCCTTGGCAAAGTTCCTATTGGCTCTCCCAGAGTATCTCCATCCGGGCCATCGCCAAGAATTCCCAAATTGCCCCGGCTGCCACCAATGCTACATCTACCACCTCCACCTCCTCACAGAGGTTGACATACTTCTCTTTATCTTAGTCTTTATTCCATTTTTTCCCATTACCTTCATCCATAATTGTAAAAATTAACTTTTTAACCTCCCCACTTACGGCTTATTCAACCGATCCTCGCTAAAAACTTTATGTTAATCAACAGGTTGTGCACCAATGATATGCACCGAGCCGTACACATATGGCCCGCCCGAAACTCCATGTGTCTGCTTGCTGCCAATACAAGCCGGGCTCCGCCTGAACATGGCACTCTACTCTTTCTTCCCTTTAGTTTCAGAGCTAGCTTCCGAAATTGCTTCTGGAGTATTCATGAAGCAAAGCCAGGTTCGTATCATGGGAGCCAATGAAGCCAAAGATAATCCCGACAAGACCATCGTCCTCATTGACTTGCTACCCCTTGGGCGGAAGTTTGACAACACCACAGCATACATCACGTTTCAAAGATTTTGGCAGAAAAAAGTGATTGGAAAAACTGAGCTCTTTGGCGATTACGACGTGCTGTATGTGCAGTATCCAGGTAAGCCATGGCCCAAAGCCCAATATTATCAAGTTTGAATCACATTTCATCACTTTATGGCTTTGATCTGACTACTCGAGTTTTTTTCCGAACTTGGAAAAATAATAATTAGGTCTGCCCCCTTCTCCGCCATCACCCCTGTCGACAGGTGGCATCATATCTAGCAAACCTTATCCGGGCCGTAATGGACCAAAGCCCGTTGAGCCCCTTGGGGTGGATGTAAGTGGGAAGGAGCAAAAGCACGGACTTGGCGGTATCATATTGGCAACGATAGTATTATCTTGTTTCGTGGCTGTTATCTTGTTGTGTGCTGTTGCCTGGGTTTTTGTCTTCAGGTACAGGCACCGTGTTTTCCAGCCGGACCCTTCTCCGCCAGCCATGTTTTCTTCCCAAGCAAAGTCATCAGGTAAAAATTATTCTTCGTTTCTCATTTTCTTTTTCCATTTCCTTTTTTTTTTTCTCCTTTTTTGTTATGCTGTGGTGCAGTTGTGATCTTATTGAATTTTTAGGTTTCTTGTTTTTATGAAATACATTTTAACTTCTAGTTACCTGCAGCATGCATAGTATTTCAACTCACTAAACCTGAAAAATAAAAACATGTTGCCTTGTTACTATAGATTTGCCCTACCCAACACAAGTTGATAAAAGAAAAAGAAAAGAAAAAAGAAAGGAAGACTGATTTTTAATAATCAAGCAACATTGTTTTGAACACATACATTCATGTGATGCAGGCCTACCCGTGTCTATGATCGGAAGTGCGACCAATTCTCCTTCATTTTCTCTAGGTTCCAGCATGCCACCCTACACTGGCTCCGCAAAGACATTCACTTCACACGATATAAAAAGAGCAACCGATTTTTTCAATGAAGCAAGAATGATCGGTGAGGGAGGGTTCGGGCGCGTCTATAGTGGCGTGCTCGATGACGAGACAAAAGTGGCCGTGAAAATACTCAAAAGGTACGACCAACAAGGCGGGCGTGAATTCCTGGCCGAGGTCGAGATGCTCAGCCGGCTACATCATAGGAACTTGGTCAAGTTGATCGGTATTTGCGTGGAGGACCCTACTCGATGTCTGGTTTACGAACTCGTACCCAATGGTAGCGTGGAGTCTCATTTGCATGGTATGAGTGTGAAGAGAATTGTAGAAGTCATCGAGTCGAGTACTTTACTGTTACACCCCTCGAATTTTCAGCGGATTTCAGAAATATTCCCAGATTTTTTTCGTCTGGCTATTTTGTAGTATCTGAAAAATTGTGGGGCGTAAAAGTAAAAATTGTACTCTTTTTTTTTTTTTCGCAAACTTTGAATTGAGCATATGTTGGTTATTTCAACAATCCTTGTTGTGAGATGTGAGATGACATTAGCAACTCTTGTTGTTGCCTTTTGTGGTGATGTTTGTTTTTCAGGGTGTGATAAAGAGAGATCTCCACTTGACTGGAATGCTCGTTTGAAGATTGCGCTTGGAGCCGCTCGAGCTTTGGCCTATCTTCATGAGGACTCGAGTCCTTGTGTGATTCACAGGGACTTCAAAGCCAGTAATATCTTGCTGGAGGATGATTTTATGCCAAAAGTATCTGATTTCGGCTTGGCACGCACAGCACTGGATGAGAACAGACACATCTCGACACGTGTCATGGGGACTTTTGGGTTAGAACTACTCTCTCCCTATATTTTTCAGAAGTCGAATATTCCCCCAATATTTGTTGGTAATTTTTTAAGAGAGATATTCGACCCGCGTTTCACCCTTTTACCATTATAGCTCAAACTTCAAACTTGTGCATATAAATAATAAGTTCTAAAACAATCGAATCTTTTGGTAATCACAGTCTTTAAGTGTTAAATTTCGTATTCTTCTCATTTTCCAAAATTTTCCCATTTATTCAATGGCTTAAAGAAATTCTTATCCTCACATATCGACAAAGGTACGTGGCTCCCGAGTACGCAATGACAGGTCATCTCCTTGTGAAAAGTGACGTCTACAGCTACGGAGTTGTCCTCCTTGAACTTCTAACCGGGCGCAAACCGGTCGACATGTCCCAACTGCCTGGCCAAGAAAACCTCGTCTCTTGGGCTCGCCCGCTCCTCGCAAGCCCGGAAGGCCTACTGTCGATTGCCGACCAATCCATACTTGGTTCTGACTCTTTTCTTCTCGACAGCATCTCGAAAGTAGCCGCAATTGCCTCGATGTGCGTGCAGCCAGAGGTGTCCAACAGGCCCTTCATGGGTGAGGTCGTTCAGGCCCTAAAGCTCGTGTTCAATGAATGCGACGAAAATCGAGAATGCCTGTCAAGAAACTCGAGCAGCGAGGATTTGTCGTTGGGCGTGGAAGTTAGGGAAAGTACTGTTCGTTCGGGCGTGGCCTGTTTGCCAGCCCCTATGCTTTCTCCGCCATCGACTTACTCGGATTACGATTACCGGATGGATATTGTCGAGAGGGATCTTTCTATGTCGGGCCTGTTGAGCCCGTCGGCCAGGTTTGGGCCGCAGGATTCAGAATCTTTCAGGAGGCATTCAAGTTCGGGCCCTCCAAGGACAGGACAGGCAAAGCCCATTTGGAGAATGATGAAACGGTTTCCTCGAGGGAGCGTGAGTGAACATGGGGCTCGGTTTAGACTGTGGCCCGGGTCTCATTAGACTGTGGCCCGGGTCTCATTAGAAGATGTACTGTTTAGCAAAGAGCAATGTGAAGATAATGGGCTCTTGGTTAATGTTATTGTACAGAAAATGTTGTGACCAGGATTTACTGATCTTGTTCAGAAATGAGTTCATTTACCAGTGGCTTGGTCACACATTTGTGTATCGACATGTATAATGAAACTGCCCAGAAAAATAATTAAGAAAAGACCTTCCCTTCTTGTTTGAAAGGATTAGATAACACAACTCTTTATTTTATTTTCTTGGGGAAGTACAACATTATACTGTTAGGGCACGTTTGAGGAGTTCGACGGGATAAGTAGCTTATCTGGGATAAAATTATCCTCTGCTGTTGAACTTTGAAAATGTATTCAACTTTAGCCTGTTTATAGGATTAAAAATGTATCCGGGATAAAAATGTATTCGTTTCAGATTTCAAGTGACATTTTGAGACTTTTTGAGATTTTAGATTTTTTAAAATTTTCGGATTTTGGAGAAATCTGTGAGATCTTAAGTTTGGAAATGGGATTTTGAGTGTGAAATCTTAAAAAGTCTTTATGAATCTCAATTGAATACACCATAAATAAGTAGCTTATTCTGAATAAAATTATCCTCTACTTTCAACTTTGAATTTAATCACTTCAGTTTTTTCAAGGGATGGTGAATCATAATATCAAATCAATGGGATAATAATAATTCACACATTAAATAATGGGTGTTGATTCTGTTTTCCTAAATAATGTAGCGGCGGTCTCTGCCCAGCAGAGCCGCCGGTTGCAATGAGTTGCCTAAGTTGGAACGTGCAAGGCTTGGGGAATTCTTGCACGGTCTGATCGCTACGGAGTTTGGTCCGTAAACTATCCCTCGATTTAGTCTTTATGTCTGAGACTAGATTGTTTGGTGCTAAGGCAGATAATATACGTAATTTAAAAAAAGTTCGTGGCAATTTTGTAGTGGATTCAAACGACAAAAGTGGCGGGCTTCTGCTAATATGGCCAGACAGATGGGATGTTGATATAAAATCGTTTTCTTCAGGACATATTGATGCACATATCACGGACCATGATAATAGGCGTTGGCGGTTTACAGGAGTTTATGGTCAACCAAAAATGGAAAATCGTCATCACACGTATCTTCTTCGCCGCTTGTGCTCTTTTACATCTTTACCCTGGTTATGTGGAGGGAATTTTAATGAAACCACACAGCTATCGGAGCAGAAAGGTGGAATGTTTCGGAATCATACTACATCTAGGGAGTTTCAGTTGACCCTTACTGATTGTAATCTCTCAACTATCCACTTCAAGGGCTATTCTTTTACGTGGAATAATAAGAGAATAGGTTCGGCAAATATTCAAGCTCGATTAGACAGATTTGTGGGTGACGAGATTGGTACAATGAATTTCTGGAGTCATGTATTGAACATCTGCCTCTGGGTGACGAGATTGGTGCAATGAATTTCTGGAGTCATGTATTGAACATCTGCCTCTTAAGTCTTCCGATCATCGGCCCATTTTTCTACATGATACTAGTCAGCCTTACCATCAAAATGTTCAGATCTCGTCGGTTTAAATTCGAACCGTGGTGGCTGTGGGAAACTAAATTTTCTGATACAGTTCGAGAAGGTTGGTCGAACAAACCACTCACTCCTAGCAGAAGAGACCCCCCTCTCTATTTCAACCCCAAATTGGCGGATTGTCAGGAAAAACTCAAAGTCTGGAGCAAGAGCACCTTTAAGGGCTGGAGAAAACATTGCGAGAAAAAGAAAAAGTCTCCAAACCTTGTACGATTCTCCAAACTCAACAGACCTCATGGACGAGATATATAGTTTGGAACAAGAAATTTGTACTTTATCTTCTCGTGAAGAGAGCTTTTGGATACAACGAGCGCGAGTGGATTGGCTAAATGAAGGCGATCGAAATACAAAATTTTTTCATAACAGAGCAAAATCAAGGTTTTTTCGTAATCAAATTCACAAACTCCAAAATGACCAGGGGGACTGGATTACCAAGGCGGATGATATTGTTCGTCATGTGTTAGCTTTCTTCAGTGATCTTTTTTCTAGCATAAGCCAACTGATGAACACATCCACGCCATAACTGATACAATGTCTGGTGGCCTTTCTCTAGAAGATGTTTTTACGCTTGATGAGCCTTTCACTGAAAACGATATTCATAATGCCTTAATGAGCATTGGTCCTTATCAAGCTCCGGGAGTTGACGGTTGTCACGCAATATTACCAGAAACAGTGGGGCCTTATTAAGCAGGATATTATCTCAGTATACCTGAATATCCTTAATAACGGGTACTCCCTACAGGGTTTGGATGATACAGTTATAGTGTTGATTCCAAAGAAGAAAAATCATGTTCGGATCTCCGATTATCGACCTATTAGTATCTGCAAAGTCCTCTACAAAATAGTCTCAAACGCAATTGCTTCTCGATTGAAACTGGTTTTAAGCTCTCTAATATCAACAAACTAAAGTGCTTTTGTCCAAGAAAGGCTCATCACAGATAATGAAATTTTGGCTTTTGAACTCCTTCACTCAATGTCTAAAAAAAGTCAGGGAAACTCTCGTTGGATGGCCATTAAGCTTGATATGAGCAAAGCGTATGATCGGTTTTAATGGGATTATGTTGAGGCACTATTGGTAAAAAATGGATTTCCTCATTGCATTCGAAAACTCATTCGGAATTGCATCTCTACGGTTCAGTTTACTTTCAGTATCAACGGCCAAAATGTGGGGCATGTGCAACCTTCTCGGGGATTGCATCAAGGATGTCCCTTATCTCTGTACTTGTTTGTTCTTTGTGCGGAGGGATTCTCGACAACTTCAAAAAAGCTGAACTAGAAGGCGCGATGGAGGGCTTGAAATGTAGCAGGAATGGACCTTTGATCTCACACCTTCTTTTTGCGGACGACTCCATTATTTTCTCAATGGCCAATCGTGATGTGGCTTCATTCATTGTCAACATTCTTCATCATTATGAGCTAGCGTCGGGCCAAAAAGTCAACTTGGAGAAAATCGCACTTTATTTCTCCCCCAACACTCCCCGTGATAGGTAATATGACCACTCTTCGGTATTCAATCGTCTGTATCACATGGAACATATCTTGGGCTTCCGTCTATGATTGGTCGAGATAAAGCTCGAGCCTTTGCCTCTATCCGTGAAAAAATTTGGATTCGACTCCAGAGTTGGAACTGCAATCTCTTTTCCTCAGCTAGACGTGAAACTCTTATTAATGCAGTTGTACAATCGATCCATGTCTACTTCATGAGCCTCTTTCGATTCCCCAATACCCTTTGTAATCAAATATGACAAATTGTTGCTCAATTTTGGTGGGGTTCTCGGCTCGGTGAACAAAAAATATCTTTGGTTAAATGGAGCAAATTGACGAAGTCAAAACAAGAAAGGGGGCTAGAGTTCAGGGATTTTCACTTGTTTAACAAAGCAATGCTGGGGAAACAAGCGTGGCGGATGATTATGTTCTCTGACTCGTTGGTATCTCGGGTGCTTAACGCTAAGTATTTTTCTTCTGACCACTTCCTTGAGGCTCGGGCACGTGTCGACTCCTCATTCATCTGAAAAAGTATCTTGTGGGGCCGAGAGGTAATTCAAACATGTTTGAGATGGAGAGTGGGGGACATGTCGCAAATCAATGTTTACTCGGACCCTTGGATACCTCACTTTCGCTATTTTAAACCTTTCTCTAGACTTGTGGTTGGTATTGATCGAGTTAAGGACCTTATTAGGGTAAGCAGAACGTGGAACGAGAACTTGATTAGTAGCATCTTTTTACCGATTGATGCCCAAAAGATCCTTTCTATTCCTTTACGTCTTTGTCGCTCTGCAGACCGCATTATTTTGCACCACTCCAAACATGGTTCCTATACGGTGAAAAGTGGTTATCACTTACTTAAATCCCTTCCTACTGAATCCCACACATCATGTTCGAATATTCATATGAGGTGGTGGAAAGCTCTTTGGAAACTAAATCTTGCTCCTAAAGAGAAAATTTTTATGTGGAAACTGAGTAATTTGGCGTTTCCCTCGTCTGAAAATTTAGCTCGACACCACATAAATGTGGAAGTGAAATGCCATAGATGCAGAGGCTTGGAATTGAATGTCCATGTTTTCTTTGACTATATTTGGGTTAAAACTCTGTGGAAAATGACTGGCTGGTGGGACATAATAGCAGGACTACGTGTCTTGAGCTTTATCTCGATCTTTACCGATATTATTGATGGAACTCGGGGAGATGAGTTACCGATGTTTTCGATTATTTTATGGATTATTTGGCAAGAAAGAAACCGAATAAGACATGGTTTAGCAGGCAAAAGTGTGGAACAGGTTTGGGCTACTGGACGGGGGTGGCTAGATGAGTTGTGTCTTGTGAACTCAGGCGCTGCTCCAATTACACGACCACCGAATCTGGGACCAATAGCTTGGCTTGGACCAGGTAACTCTCAAAATGGGATTACCTTGTTTTCTGATGTTGTTTTCGCGATTCGTCGATTGGTTTAGGAGGGTGGCTTAGTGACTTAGAGGGAGTGTGTTGGGCAGCTTTTGCATCTCAACAATCTGGATCCTTTTCCCCGACAGCTCCTGAAGCTTTGGCCCTACGTTTCGGACTTCGTTTTACCCTGGACTCGGGCTTCACTATTCAAGCTGCCCAAGACTGATGCTCTTTCAGTTATTTGCAGTATTTCTGACCAACTCCCAAATAACCAGTTGCAGCATGTTTTTTAAGATATTACCGAGCTTTTGTTCTCGTTGAATTGTGGTGTTTGTGATCACGTTGATAGAGCAAATAATGTGGTTTCTCATAACATAGCTAAGTGGGCTTTAGAGGCGATCGATTCCTTTATGTGGAAGGACTCTATGTCGTCTTTTTTCTTTTCCTTCTTTCGTGGTGTATCGGGTTCATGAATTTGATTGAATGAATCTAGATATTTGACTTGCAAAAAATAATGGGTAAAAAATTTTTTTCCATCCGAACT